ACCCAAGACTTGCTGCTGCCTATCAAGCTGAATTCAGCACCGGTCAGTGTTCCAAAGATCGACCCGCAAGCCCAAGGAAGGACCAGCACAACTCCTGTGTCCTGCTGACATAGCAGTTTCTTCGGCACCGAAGTCACCACTGCTCGGCACCAAACACGCCCCGCGCTACATATCACAGTACCATCCTTCATCTCCTGCACCACTCTCCATGCATGGTGGTGAGGAAGGAGACGTGCAGGAAAACTGCTTCTCCTCTTAACGTTCATCCCCATCACAGATGACACCTACATGGAATGCTGTGACGCCTAAGCCTCATCCCTCCGAGCATTCACAGCCCTGGTATGCACAGCATTCCTGGAGAAAAGTGTAGATCAGAGAAGAGTGTGGTGGAGGCGCAAGGAGACTATGGACCCACTTGAGCAGTAGCCTGAGGGACTTCCTTGTACTGCATGGGCCACAACAAGTGAAAAACTTAATGTTCCCCAAAGACAATGAAAATAGAAGTTTCGATCCAACACATTACTGGCGTGAAATCCCCAATGGTGACAAAGAGGAGAGGCCATGGCTTAGGTACTCAAAAACCCAGAATGCTGCATACTGTTTTTGTTGCAAACTCTTCCAGTCTAATGTTCCAAGCCACATTGGGTTCTACAGGAACAAAGGACTGGCAAAATCTGGCTAGAAATCTGGCATGCCATGAGAAGGCAGCAAATCACCAGAGAGCATTCCATAGGTGGAAAGGACTTGAGATGAGACTAAGTTAAAGACCACCATAGATGATCAGCAATCAAGAGAAGATTGCATCAGAGTGTCGTTACTGGAAAAATGTTCTGAAAAGGCTTATTGCCATTGTGAGAATGCTTGCTACCCAAAACCTAGCACTGCGTGGCACTTCAGATCAGCTGTATGTGCCAAACAATGGAAACTTCCTTAAAATTGTGGAGCTGATTGCTGAGTTTGATGCTGTACTCCAGGAGCATCTAAGAAGAGTCACCACACAAGAAATGTGGAAAAACAATTCAAAATGAGATCATACAGTTACTGGCAACAAAAGTCAAACAGAAGATTGTGGCAGATCTGAAGCCAGCAAGATATTACTCTGTTATTCTGGATTTCACACTTGACATCAGCCATATGGAACAAATGACTTTAACGGTGCGTTTTGTAACAACAACAGAACCTAGTGAAAATGTCCCTGCAATGATGACTGTCAGAGAATTTATTGACATTGATGACACTACAGGAGCTGGTATGACAAATGTGCTTCTTAAAAAGCTGGAAGATACGGGAATTGCGATAGCTGACATGAGAGGTCAGGGCTACGACAATGGTGCCAACATGAGAGGAAAGAACAGAGGAGTGCAGACACGGATCCGAGAGTTAAACCCTCAAGCTTTTTTTGTCCCACGCAGTTCTCATTCATTGAACTTGGTGGTCAGTGATGCAGCATCAGCTTCTAGTGAGGCTACTGAATTTTTTAATGTAATTCAAAGCAGCTAATGTATTTTCTCTGCATCAACTCATTGATGGAAAATTTTGAAGCAACATCTGGGAACATCCTCTCTGACACTGAAACCACTGAGTGCCACACGAAGGGAAAGTCGAGTGGAGGCGATAAAGCCTATCAAACACCAAATTGGGAAGATAGATGATGCCATAGTTGCTGTTATGGAGGATAATGCTATGACAGGAACTGTTTGAGGGAGAATAGTGGCAGAGGGAAATGAAATCACCAGAAACATACATAACTTCAAAATTCTGTGTGGCTTAGTGTTGTGGCATGACGTACTGTTTGAAATAAATATTGTAAGCAAGAGACTCCAAGGTGTTGACCTCAATATATCTGGAGCAATGGAACAACTGGACAAAGCAAAGTCATACCTATAGTCTTACCGGTCATATGAGGGATTTCAAAACGTTCTGAAGAGTGCACAGAAGTTGGCAGAGGAATTTCACACTGAAGCTATTTTCCCACCCATTCAAGAATACAAGTGTTACCGAAGAAGACATTTTGATTACGAGGCATGGGATAATCCCATAAGAGACCCCAAACAACAATTCAACATTGAATTCTTTAACCAGGTGCTAGATTGTGCAATACAGTCAGTTGAAGAACATTTCATGCAGCTCAAGGAACACAGCAGTAGACCTGGGATGTTGTATGATATTCCAAAACTCCTCACTATACCTGAAGAAGACCTACACTAGCAATGCAGGGCACTAGAGACAGTGCTGACACATGATGACATGTGCGATATTGATGCGAGTGATTTAGGTGATGAACTGAAAGCCCTTTCAAGATACATTTCAGCAGGATCAACTCCAAAGGCTGTTCTGGAATATATGTACACAAATAAGATGACCACCCTCTTTCCAAATGCTTTTGTAGCTCTGCTCATACTTCTAACACTTCCTGTTACAGTTGCCAGTGGAAAACGCACTTCTCCAAGCTGAAGTTAATAAAAACACATCTACACTCCACAATGACACAGGAGAGGCTAGGCCTTGCAACTATCTCAATAGAGCGTGAGCTAGCCCAGACTCTGGACCAGGAGTCGGCAACCTACGGCATGTGTGCCAAACATGGCACGCGAGCCGATTTTGAGTGGCACGCTGCCTGCCCGGTGAGAGGAGGAGGAGGGGCGGAGGGGCCGGAAAGCGCCACGCTGGGGGAAGAAGCGGGGGAGGAGGGAAGCTTGGCTGCCGCAGGACCAAGCTTCTGCCTCCTGCCCCCACAGGGAAGAGCGGTGTGGGGGGGTCCCGGCCCCCCACCCCACACAGCCCCCCCGCCCACCACTCTCCCTTGCGGGGGCAGGAGGCAGAAGGTTGGTCCTGCGGCAGCCAAGCTTCCCCCCTCCCCTGCTTCTTCCCTCAGCGTGGTGCGTTCCGGCCCCTCCTCCCCCCCCCCCGCCCCTGCGAGTGGGAAGGGGAGCGGAGCAGAGCCGAGCGCGTGCTCCCTGCTCCATAGAGCAGGCAGAGAGAGGTAGGGACGGGCCTTGGGGAAGGGGGTGGAACAGGACATATCCCTCCCAGCTCCCTGCCCTGAGCGGCTCAGGGCAGGGGGCTGGGAGCACCCCCACGAGCCGAGCACCCCAGCCTTCTGCCCTGCACCCCCCCCCCCCCCCCACCCATCCCTCTGCCCTCCACCCCCACACACCCCCAGCCCTCTGCCCTGAACCCCCCCACACACCCAGCCTTCTGCCCTGCACCTCCACACACATCCAGCCCTCTGCCCTGACCTCGAGTCCCCCCAACACCCAGCCTTCTGCCCTGCACCTCCACACACACCCCAGACTTATAGAGAGAGACCTTCTAAAAAACGTTAACATGTATTACCAGCACGCGAAACCTTAAATTAAAGTGAATAATGAAGACTTGGCACACCACTTCTGAAAGGTTGCCTACCCCTGCTCTGGACCTTCAGGAAGCAGTTCAAATCTTTGCAACCAAGAAGACACGGAAAGCACCACTTTGATTATTCAAAGAGATAAAAATGCCAGTGTTTACTATGCAGACAAGAAAAGTTACATTTGCTGTTCAGGCATTTGAAAGTTAAGTGTTACTTAAAATTTTTGAACAAGGCATTTTAAGTTGTTAGTTCTCCTTTATTGGGGTAGGTAGCAGAGCAGGACCATGACAGGAGTAGAACAGGAAGAAGGCAGAATTGGGACCTTTCAAAGTTTTGGCCCAAGTGAGGGGGAATGGGGGTGTTATTTGAGCTCCCCGCCTCAGGTGCCAAAATGTTGTGGCCTGGCCCTGAGGGTGGGAGAAGGGGGGATTTTCAACAGGGGGTGGGGAGGACAGGGGCGGGGAGGGGATGGGGGCAGAATGGGACTGGAGATGTGACTGTGGCCAGGGGGCGGGGCAAGGGATAGGGGAGAGTCTGTGGCTGGGGGCCGGGCATAGGGGACATGCAGGGCCTGGAGGCCAGGAGGGCAGGGTGGGGGAGGGGAAGGAGGTGGGGCTAGGGGCAAGGGTAGGAGGTGGGGCTGGGGCTGAGCCAATTCTGTGAGCAGTGAGCTCTGTGAGGGTACATGGAGTGGGGGGAAAGGCAGGGGATGGGGGCACAATGGGGCTGAGGGGTGGGGCAGGGGAGAGGGGAGAGGCTGGGTCTGGAGGCAAGGCTGGAGGTGGGGCAGGTGTCATGGGAGGGGTGGGGCTAGGGTACAGGCTGGGTGGGGCTATGGGTGGAGTGGAGGATAGGGAAGGGTTGGGGGCTGAGTGAACTTTGTGAGGGGACATGGTGTGGGGGGAAGGGTGGAGGATGCAATGGGGTGGGGGCAGATGAGGGCGCAATGGGGCTGGAGGCAGGAGATAGGGGAGAGTCTAGGGTGGAAGTGGGGA